TCTCTCTCTCTCTCTCTCTCTCTCTCTCTCTCTCTCTCTCTCTCTCTGTGTGTGTGTGTGTGTGTGTGTGGGTGTGTGTGTGTGTGTGTGCGCGCGCGCGCGATTGTTGTATGGATACCCTCAGAGGTCAGAAAGGGGGCTCAGCTCCCCTGTAGCTGAACCTATAGGTGGTTGTGAGCTGTGTACTGTGGGTGCTGAGAGCTGGGTGCCAGTCCTCCACAAGAGCAGTGAGTGAACTTAGCTGCTGAGCCGTCTCTCCAGCCCTGATTTTAGTTCTTTTTGTTTGGCCGGGTCTTTTGAGACAAGGTCTCATCTGTATCCATGTTGGTCTTGAATTCACCTTTCTTCTGCCTTCATGAATGTTTTACATACTTCACTGACCTTCATAATTTTCTCAGCACTTACATACTGGTCTACTCCCTAAGTCTATTCTCAGGCATTACATAATGTGCCCTTTTCCATCATTGCAGGAAATCCTGCATTACCGTTGGCACACAGATCTTTGCCGCATATGAATAATTGCAGAGATGGTACTCCTGGGTCAAAGAGACAGACACCCTGTTTTTTGCCACCACAACAGCTTATGGACATCTACATTGCTGCCCATGGTACATAGGATCTAAGATCTGATGGGCTGCATTAACCCGTGTGTTCTTCTTTGGTTGGGGGTGGGGGGATTTTACTCCTTAAATAGTAAAAGAGCTGCCATCACATCATCCTTGCATCCACCCATCACGTCCCAGCCTGCTGCTCGGTACTAAATATCGTGGACTGGGGATGTAACTCTGAAAATACAGCCAGGTGAGCTTTTGAGTCCCATGACCTTGTATCAAACGCAGAACCCCTTCTAGGCAGGTCCTGGGGGACACACGGGATGACACTTTGCACACTCTCAGGGATCCGCAGCTCGATCTGGAATCCCATTCATCTGTATCTCAAAGACTCAAGCCTCTGCAGGGGCTTGCATGCCTACAGAGAAAAGGTGCTGAGAATGTGCTTCTCACAAAATCAGACGGTGTGTGCACACAGGCCTGTGCCTCAACCTGCTGTGTGCTCAGGAATGCACCACCACAGCAGGCTCAGGTGCACTGGGGATTAAAACCAAGGACTCTATGTGCGACACAAGTGCTCTAGCATTGAGTTATAGCCACACCCCAAATGTGCACGTTTGGTACGTTGCTGTTAATGCCATGTAATTTTTAGTACCTGTATGTAGTCCTAGGATGGAACTCGGGGCTTGATGTGCGAGGCAGCTTTCCTACCGTTGAGTCACATCCTCTCTCAGCTTAATGTTTTGTTGTTGCTTTTATTTATTTATCTATTTATATATTTATTTATTTTAAAGATTTATTTATTTCTTTTATATGAGTACACTGTAGCTGTCTTCAGACATACCAGAAGAGGGCGTCAGATCCCATTACAGATGGTCGTGAGCCACCATGTGGTTGCTGGGAATTGAATACAGGACCTCTGGAAGAGCAAGCACCCAGTGCTCTTAACCACTGAGCCATCTCTCCAGCCAGTGTTGTTGTTTTTATTGTGATAAAATATATACACAAATTCAAACTTACTAGTTTAACCATTTTAAGTGTATGGCTGAATATCAGTAACTACAGTCACATACATCATCCTGCAACCATCACCATCATGGACCTGCAGAGGTTTCATCTCTTTGAACAGCGCCCCCTCCCTTCAGCTTCTGGCACCTGCCATGTTGCTTGCTTCACGATTTGGATCACTTTGCATACACATCAGATCTGTCTTTTAGTCTCAGATTGTCACCATCTAATGTCCTGGGGTGGGGGCAGAATTTCCTGCTTTTCTGAGATCAAATGACATTCCACTGTATTTGTATACTACACATTCTATAACCACTCATCCACTGATGTACATGTGGGCTGCTCCCCCTAGTGGCTGCGAAGAACATTGCTGCCAGGAACCCCAAGCATGTTAAAGCTTCTCTCAGTTTTTGCTGTTGTTATTGTGGTCTTCGTTTTTTGTTTTTTTGTTTTTGTTTATTTTTTTATTTTTTTATTCCCAGGAATAGAATTGCTGGGTCAGATGGTAATTTTATGTGGCTTTATTATTTTTAGTGTGCTTTTTCATGTATATTGTGGTTAAATTTGGTCTTTACATTAGCCCCATGGGATAAGAAAAAAAATGTTAATGTAACTTTAAAAAGTGGCTTGCTGAAATTGAAACAATAAATTGAAGAGTCTCCTGACCTCAAAACTTGGCTTCCACATTCACTGACAATTAAAAATGGTCCCAGCCACATGCTACCACCTGAGAACAATATCCCTTTCTTTTCTTTCTTTTTTCTTTTGCAACAATGGGGTCTCACTGCATAACCATATACTGTGCTGACCTGGAACTTGTGATTTCTTGTTCAGCCTTCTGAGTGCTGGGGTTGTGGTCAGGTGCCATTATGCCAGGCTTTGTGACAAGCTCCTTCTAGTCCAGCTTGGTCAGCTACCTGGTTTTTCAACCCTGCCCTTCCTGCCTGTCTGACACAGTGAGATCTGGTTCAGGCCTTTGTCAGTACAGAGGGGAATCCATGTCACTCCTCAGAACCTCTGTTCATGCCCAGAGACCAAGGCCTGTCCCATTGCAGAGATGAGAGGCCGTGTTCATGCCCAGCAGCTGTACCTGCACCCAGCAGACATGCATCTTTCAGTATCCGTTTCCTTCTTTCAGTCCAGACCCTGCTGTCTCACCATGAGGATTTGGTGGCTTCTGCTGGTTATTGGTGCATGTGCAAGGAGTGTATTCTCCCAGGACACCTGCCGGCAAGGGCACTCTGGCATCCCTGGGAATCCAGGTCACAATGGCCTACCTGGAAGAGACGGACGAGATGGTGCCAAGGGTGACAAAGGAGACACAGGTACTTGACACTTGCCGCTTTTTACAGCCTTCTTTTATCCCTTCAGTCACCCACTTGCCACTGGTGGGTGCATTGTTCCACCTGCCCACTGAGCCCTTGCCCACCAATGTGCCCTGCAGGCTCTTCTCAAAGGCCTGCTCTATTGCCACATGACAGTATGCTAGGTGTGGAATGAAGTGCGGGACAAGGCCAACAGCACCCTGCCCCGACAGGCTTCTCATCTACAGGAGACGACTGTTAACAAGTGTTTCTGCAAACATGGGCATTCGAGTGGGATAGTACGGGTGTGGTGCATCACTGATATCACGAGGCCAGTGGAGCAATCTGATGACTAAGCACAGAGGCAACCCCCACCCACAGGGAGAAGGCCCACAGTGGATGCCTAGAACCATAGAAAGCACAGACCCCTACCCATGTCTTGCTTCCTCATATATATATAGTCTATGATAACGTTTAATTTCTAGACTAGATAAGGAGTAAATAATCATTAGTAATAGATTACACATTACACTTTACTAGCAAGTTACCAGCACGGGTGCTCTTACACTTTGAGAAATGTGTTAAGTTACAGTTAAGGTCATGTGGCCATCAGCATTGTGAGACTGCCTTGGCCATTTGAATAACTGAGGCGGCTGCAAAGTGACTGATGACGGGGGCGGCATATCGCTTCCCGGGAGCTGTGACCATGGCACGTGCCACCATGCCTGGGTCTGTGTTTAGTTTTGAATATATGAAGTTTTTATATAATTTTTTTATTTATGTATATTCTTAGTGTATGAGTGCTCTGTCTGCATGTACACCTGCATGCCAGAAGAGGGCATCAGACCCCTTTATAGATGGTTGTGAGCCACCATGTGGTTGCTGGGAACTGAACTCAGGACCTCTGGAAGAGCAGCCAGTGCTCTTAACCCCTAGCCTCTCACCAGCCCCTGAATATATGAAGTTTTAATGTTTACTATCAGATATTTTGTACACATGAAGAGGAGAGATGATTACTAGATAAATCAAGAGGAATATCCCTAAACCTGTAATGCCAAATTTGTTTACCTCTCCTTTTGCAAATCTTTCTCCATCTTTCTTGGTTGTAATTCCCCTCCCACCTTTAAAAAAGTGTTTCGTTTTTGAGACATTTAAATATTTCTTATGTGTATAGATGAGTTTTTTTCTGTGTGTATATTTAGGTACCACATGTTTGCAGTGCCCTCAGAGACCAGGGGAGGGTGTTGAGTCATCTGGCTGTAGCCCTCACGTAGGTGCTGGGAATTGAATCTGGGTCCTCTGGAAGAGCAACCAGTGCTCTTAACTGCTAAGCCATCTTCTTTCTCTCTCTCTCTCTCTCTCTCTCTCTCTCTCTCTCTCTCTCTCTCTCTCCTCTTACTCTCTTCCCTCCCTCCCTTCCTCCCTTCCTCCCTCCCTTCCTCCTTCCCTCTACAGTGTAGCACGTATCCCAGGCTGACCTCAAACTTGTTATGTATCCAAAGACAAACTTGAACTCTTTATCCTCTTGCCACTGTCTCTTGAGCATTGGGTTTATAGGCATGTACCACTGTATCTGGCTTAAAATCATCTATCTATCTATCTATCTATCTATCTATCTCCTATCTATCCATCTATCTTCCTTTCCCTCTCCCTCCCTCCCTCCATCTCTTCCTCTCTCTGGTGTGTGTGTGTGTGTGTGTGTGTACATAATTTTCAGATATCTCCCTCTATTCTGCTCAGCTTTACAGAGGACAGGGTCTTTTGCAGAACCTTAAGCTTTCCATGTTGAACAAGCTGGCTGACTGTCTAGCAAATCCTCATGGACCCCTCTCCCTACTCATTACCTCTCCCTCCCCGTGCCTCCAGTCCTTACATGCTTGAACAGCTATGCTTGGCTTTTTATGTGGGTGCTGGGAATTCCAACTCCAGTACCTCATTCTTTCTCTGTCATTGAACTACCTCCCCAGCCTTATCAAAACAGATTTCTTAAAAGCATATGTTTTCTGAGCCAGGTATGGTGTTACATGCCTTTTAATCCTAGTGTGCAGGAGGCAGAAGCAGATGGATCTCTGTGAGTTCAAGGACAGCCTGGTCTATATAGGGAGTTCCAGGACAGCCAGGGTTACATAATATAGAGTCCTATCTCAAAAACAAACAAACAAACAAACATCTTTTTTTTCTGTACTTTTTCATTCAGTTCATACATTCATACACATATGTATATGCATAAAATATATCTGTATGTATATATAATACTTATACATACATATATACATGTACATATAAAATGTATACATATACATATACATATAATGTGATATTTCTTTAGAGTGATGCTAACCCACGGTTCTTGGCAGGAAAATCTGCTGCTGCTTTACCTGGTCCTTTGAAGATGTGCTGTGTGTTTTCTATAATCAACACACAGTACAGTGTCCACAACATACATTCACAGTTCATACTCTGGCCTGTATAATCATAAAAGCTTTGGAATCATGCTACAGAATACAAGAACTGGGAAGTAGGCAGAGAAAAAGAGAAGCTGGGATAGGAAGGCTCAGGCTTTAGGGTGGTGCAGAGGGATGCGATAGAGGAGTGGAGGCTAATTTCAGTGATTCGGTGGGACCAAGGGCTTGCTTGGGAGCTTCTGTAACACCAGGCATTATGGATGCAGATCAGCCTGTGTCACTCTCCAGTCCTGAGAGCTGAAGGCTGTCGCATCTGCTTGTCATTACACCTAGAATAGTAAGGTTGAGATCTTGGGGTCTTGGCTGATTTGAGTGAGATAAACCCTGGAGTAAACCACTGCCTTTTGAGCTCTGCTGTCACCGTAGTCTGGCCATTTCACCTTGCTAATGCCAGGTGAAGGAGCGAGATTCAATGGCCTGCTCCCAGCCTTAGGACTGGTGCGTGACTAGTAGACTCCATCAGGAACCGTTCAGTGGCAGTCACTCCTAGTCTATGGAGCCTTTCCTCCCCAACAGTCAGATCATGGAGTTCCCTGATGTTTTATGGAATCTGGTGAGCTTTTCGTTCCACTCTCGATGCGTTGTGGGAAGACAACAGAATGAGAGATATGTCTAGCACCTCCTAGATCACTTCCAAGTCCTCATCCTGAGACAAAATTTCAGCGTGGCCCTCAATGTCTTAGCTTGCCTTGCCTCATGCTCCTGGTGCTCAGAAAGTCACCAACCACTTCAGATCATGCTCGTTCTACATGAGTCAACACCTTGGATACTTGCTAGCAGTTGCCACCTTCACTTACAGTGGTTCGAAAAGAGGTGGGCTGGGTCACCGCAGGACTTGCTGTATCAATCACCACTGGCGACTCAAATAGGAAACTGGAATCTCAGCTCCTGTCTGCTTCTTCTCTTGCATCCAGGAGAACCAGGACATCCTGGTGGCCCAGGAAAGGATGGAATTCGTGGAGAGAAAGGAGAACCAGGTCAGTGGCTTTGCACTCACCCATGCACAGTGCTTTAATATGAGGCTGGGCTGATGGCAGCTGTCTGGCGCTGCTGTGGACTGGCCTGTCTGGTGCTCCCAGAATGATTCACTGTAGTCAGGACTCTCTAAAGGAACAGAACTGATAGAATAAATGTATATAGATTATACACACACATACACACACAGAGGTAGAGAAAGAGGGGGGAGGGAGGGAGGAGAAGGAGAAAGAGGGATGGAGGGAGGGAGGGAGGGAGGGAGGGAGGGGGAGAAAGAGAGTGGGGGAAGGAGAAGGAGAGAAGGGAAGAGAGGGAAAGGGGGAGGGAGGGAGGGAGGGATAGGGAGAGAGAGAGAGAAAGAGAGAGAGAGAGAGAGAGAGAGAGAGAGAGAGAGAGAGAGAGAGAATATTACAAGCTGGGGTCTGAGTAGTTCAACAATGGATGTCTCCCAATGTAAAGGCCCATAATCTGCTAGTTGTTCATTGTATGAGCCTGTATTTCTCAGCAGTCCCAATCTGGTGCTGCAGTCCTGGGGAATTCCTAAAGAGCTGCTGGTCTTCATGGTCTTCAGTCTAGGTTGGAATTGTGACGAAGTAGAATCTAACATCAGCAAAGGAATGGCCCAGCAACAGGATAGATGTATTTGCCAGCAAGGACAAGCAGGCAATGCTTTCTTCTTCCGTGTCCTTTCACAGTGGGCTTATGACAGAAGATGTGGCCTAAACTTAGGGTGGGTTGTCCCACCTCAAATGAGCCAATCAAGAGAATCCTCACAGTCTTTCCACCTCAAATGAGCCAATCAAGAGAACCCTCTCAGGCATACCCAGCTGCTTGGGTTTTAGTAGATTCCAGGTGTAGTCAAGTTGACACAATCAGTCACCACAGCTAGCAGCAGGTTCTCTCTCCGCTACAGATGCACACGGGTATCAGCACACTCTTCCTGGAAAGGTGCAAGTGGGAATTAGTCTCAGCTTCTTTTTGTAAGCTGTGGGATCTGCTCCTGTACAAAGGCAGCCACAGATGCTACACAAACAGGCGTTGCCGTGTTCTCAGGGGGAAGCTGTACCCGAAAGTCCAAAAGTTGCGTTTTGTGTACTTTTTGCATAGTATGGAGTCTTACTTGATTTTGCCAGTACTGTGGATTAAACCTAGAACTTCGTGCCTGCTAAGCCAATGCTGTGCCACAGCCTTATTCTTAAAATATACTTGTTAACATATATTAATAGATAACAGAGTTCGCTATGACACTTTCATATGTGTATGTGATGTTTCAATCACATTCACCCCATTACCCTCTCTTGGCCAGTCCCACTGAACACATTCTTCTGCTGTTGCTTCTCTTCTCATGCCTTTCTCTTTTCTTGTTTGTGTGTGTGTGTCTGTGTGTGTGTGTGTGAGACCCAGTGTGTCCATTAGAGTGTTTATCGGTGCATAGGTGAGTGTGTGCTTACAGGAGCAGGTGAACCTTACTGATGACTAAATACCCAAGAAAATGGGTCTCCTCTGACATTAAACACTGACTGCATGTAAATCCTCAGGGAAGCGTGGGCTCCCAAGGGCTCCTTTCTCTTCTATGACAGAGTGTTGAGGGGCCCAATCTCGGGCAGGTTATCACAGTGGCTGTGAGCTCAAGAGTACAGCAGCCGCGTCATTCCTGAAAGTTGGTGGTCTTCAATGCTCTCCACTCCTTCCTCTGGCTCCTATGTTCCCTTTCCACACCCTCTTTCACTGCATTCTCTGAATCTTGAAGGGATGGCATAGATGTCCCATTTTTGGATAAACACTCAATAGTTTTCTCAACACCTCTATATTTTAACTCTTTATTAGTTTTCTCAAAATCTCTCTATTTTAACTCTTTATTTTGAGATAGAGAATCATGGAGTTGCTAAGGCTGGCCCGGGACTCACTCTTGTAGATCAGGAAAACCATGAGTTTGCTATCCTGTTTGTCTGCCTCCTGAGTGGCCGAGATGACGGGTCTGTGGCCACCACACCATGTTGGGATGTTATTTCTCCCCATTTAAACATAATGATCCATTCTTAGCTTATGAACTGTGCAAAATCAGGTAGGAGGGCAGATCTGGGCAGCAGGCCACTGTGTGCTGACCTCTGACTCAGTGGATGAGCACCAGGAAGGTTCTATTAGTACCTGGCCCTACTTCAGGGAGAAAGTGGCACTCAGGTGGGACCCTGGACTGGAGGCAGAGCTCAGCAGCTGGTATTTCCCCGGAATGGATTGCAGGCTGAAGGGTAGAGAACACCCAACAGGAAGAGAGATGACTGTACTGTCAAACCCAGGCAACTCATTCTGGGCGTCCATTTATGGCTTTTTATGAAAATGCAGGAGTCCTCCTTAGGGGACATTACTGTCCCAGCTGTGTAGACGGGGGAAATGTGACAGAAGCTCACTACCTGCTGCACAGTGTGTCCACGTGTGCCGGGGTTGGAGAGAACGTGATGCCCTGGCATGTAAGTCCAGGCTCCATGCTCATAAGTGTCATTGTCCCAGTCCAGGTGGAGGGAGTGAGCAGTGTAGACTGTTCATGTCGATGGTGGGAAAGTGGGAAGAGAGGGCTGGCTGGGACTGGACAGATGGCATGTGGGGTACAATGAATACCTGGCGTCAAGCCCACTCCTTAAGGAGCTGTCACTTTCCTGGGGACTAAAGCCCTGTTACTCAGCTGCCTGATTGACCTGTTCCTTGTCGTATTCCATCTCTGATGTGTGCTTCTCTCAAGGGTGGCCTTGATTTTGGGTCAACATAGGTCACTCTGGTGGTACAGTTGTCATTGCTCATAGGAGCCCTGGCACTAACTAAGGAGTACTTTTGGAGGCTGGGAATGTGGCTCAGTGGGTAGTGTGCTTACTTACCATACTTGAAGCCCTGTGTTTAGTTCCCAGCACTGCATAAACTGGGAGTGCAGAATATAGACACAATCCCAGAACCCAGGAAGCACTGTCGGTAAGACCAGAAATTCAAGATCATCCAGTCATTTTTTACTATAGTCATCCTTAACTATAGTGAGTTTGAGGCCATCCTGGGCTACATAAGACTTTGTCCTCCCCTTCCAAACAAAAACCATCCCCCAAAAAAACCAACAACAAAAAAGTAGGTGTGTATGTGTGTGTGTGTGTGTGTCTGTCTGTCTGTCTGTCTGTCTGTTGTGCACATTTCCTCATGTGCGATTTGGAAGTTTTTGAAATTTCAGACTATGAGCAGATCTTGAACTCATACCCTACTTTGTCTCAATTAAATGCTTAGTGATAGAAACTCTAACATTGCTTATGAGGGAGTGTTTTCTAAGCCACTTCTTCCTTATCTCCCTCTATTCAGGAGCAGATGGAAGAGTTGAAGCAAAAGGCATCAAAGGTGATCCAGGCTCCAGAGGATCTCCAGGGAAACATGGTCCAAAGGGATCTATTGGTCCTATGGGAGAGCAAGGGCTGCCAGGAGAGATTGGCCCTCAGGGGCAGAAAGGGGATAAAGGCGAGGTGGGCCCCACTGGACCCGAAGGACTAATGGGCAGTACTGGACCTTTGGGTCCCAAGGGCTTACCTGGCCCAGTGGGCCCTATTGGCAAACCAGGTCCCAAGGGAGAAGCTGGACCCATGGGCCCTCAGGGGGAGCCAGGAGTCAGAGGAATGAGAGGCTGGAAAGGCGATCGAGGAGAGAAGGGGAAAGTTGGTGAGGCTCCCGTTGTGCCCAAGAGTGCTTTCACTGTGGGGCTCACAGTGATCAGTAAGTTCCCTCCCCCAGATGCACCCATTAAATTCGATAAGATCCTGTACAATGAACTGAACCACTACAATGTAGCGACGGGGAAATTCACCTGCTATGTGGCGGGCGTCTATTACTTTACGTACCACATCACTGTGTTCTCCAGGAACGTGCAGGTGTCGTTGGTCAAAAATGGGGTAAAGGTCCTGCATACCAAGGACGGTTACATGAGCTCTGAGGACCAGGCGTCTGGTGGCATCGTGCTGGAGCTGAAGCTCGGGGACGAAGTGTGGATGCAGGTGACAGGAGGAGGAGAGAGGTTCAATGGCTTATTTGCAGATGAAGATGACGATACCACATTCACAGGCTTCCTTCTGTTCAGCAGCTCTTAACACAAGGGCTCTGCACGTGGACCTCACAGCGGGCTCTGCTGGTGGATATGGTGCCCACAGAACTAGCTTGGTGAGGGTGGGATGTGACTGCATTCATTCCTTCAATTATCGCATCAGTCCTAAAATGTACACATGGGAAGGGAATCCTACAGATTCTGACATTTGAACACATGAATAATAAACTAAGAGAGAGTCACCAGCAATGCATCAGTGTCCTGTGGAGGCTTCCCCTCGGTATCACTCAACAAAGTCACCTGCAATGCATCAGTGTCCTGTGGAGGCTTCCCCTCGGTGTCACTGAACAAAGACTGAGTCCAGAGTTGAACTCTCTAGTTCGTGAATCCTGTGTCTTCCGTCCCCCCATCTGTCTGTTGTATGAGTTTGAATCCATGTCTGCCTGAAGAGTGTCTTGTGATTCTGTCCCTGTCCCCAACAAAGGGCTTTGCTGTCTCTTTTATTGAGCAGCACAAAAAGCAGCACACAGAGGAAGGGATGAGGGACTCTTCATAGACGTCTCTAACAGAGTTTTACAAGGAACTAAGTCACTGACTCCAAGTGTTCCCAGCTGACCCAGATAACAAACAAACAAACACTATTAAGTGGGGTGGGGGAGGGGAAGGGAAGGAGAGGAGGCAGGGAGGAGGAGAGGAGAGATTGGGTCTGTCTTGTGATTTGAAACCTCAAGGGCTGCTCCCAGTGACACAGGTCCTCTAACAAGGCCACGCCCGATCTTTCCCAAACAGTTGCACTAACTGGAGATGAAGCATTGAAACATATGAGCCCATGGGGGCCATCCTTTCTCTCCTCATTCAAACTACCATGGTAACGTAAGGGATCTGTTCATCATAATGCACCATCACAGTTGCGTGTATGTAATCTGGACTCTCTTAAAGAGTAAAAGAATAAACAGTGGTCTTGTTTGTTGTGGTTAAATTTTCGTGCTGGAAATGGAACCCAGGGCATGTGCCTGCTGGACAAGTGCTCTTTCACAGAGCTATCCTCAGCCTGCTTGTTATGATGTAGTTAACATATCACCATTCCCTTACCCAGGACATCCTTTGCACACGTGTGCGGTGGGAAGCATTCTGATGCTCTAAGGGCCGTATTATGTCGGATGTTAGGGGAAAGTAATGGGAGCTGGGGTTATGGCTGAGCAGGCATAGCATTCGTAGAGCACGTGTGGGTTCCATTCTCAGCAGCACAAACAAATATTTATTCCATTTTATGACCAACAGCGTTCAGCTGATGTCAATGAGACACTCCAGGAAGCTTCAGATACTTTATTTTCTAACATAGGTGTCTGTGCTACTCAATTGAATGAATAGTTGGGCTGAATCTATACTCGCTATCTAGGACTTCCATAATCAAGGTGGGTGGCCTAAAACATCAGAATGCACCCTGTCATGGCTCTGGAAGCAGAGGTTCAAGGTCCACATGTCAGCAAGACTGAGACTAAGTCCCTGAAGGAAGGTCCTTTCCTGCCACTTCCAGCTTCTAGTAGCCCCTGGGGTCCCCTGGTTTGAATCATGTCACGTCATACCTGTTGCTCTGCATAGGTTTCCCTCTGTAGCTGCACATGTCCAAATTTCCCTCTTCTAATGAGGAGTACACCAGTCATTTTGGATTCAGACCCATCCCAATATGATTATATCTGTAAAGACCCTGCCCAGATGAGGTTTGATTTGCAGGTACCAGAGCTTAGTACTTTTAACACGTCTTATAGGAAGACACAATTCTACCCACAATAGTCTGCCCTCTAGACTTTCCTCCAGGTTGGGTCCTTCTTATGTCCTACAGGTCAACAGACCTGCCCAAACACAAAATTCCAGGATTATCCTCTATACCAAAAAAAGTCATTGTTTAAGTCACTTAAATCAGCAACAGGAAGGACCTGTTGTGTGGTATATCCTGGGCAGAATCTAGTGAGATGGAAATCTTTAGTCAAACAAGTTATTTGCTTTCAAGGTACATTTGTAGGTTTGGCATAGGCTTCCCAGTAAAGGGACACAAGGAAAGGCAAAAAGGGCCTAGGAGTTTCAAGCCAGTCTGAAACCCAGCAGGGAAAATCCCAGTGTTTGAAATGGCCAGTCTTGCCACAACACTGTAGTTCTTTATGCCATCTCACTGCAGGACTGTTTGGATGTGTTTCAGGCAGATGATCTTCCTGCCTACCTGGATAGCTAGCAGCGATGGTGAATTCTCCACATGTATCCCCAACTCATATGCTCACTGAAACACACATGCTTCCTCTGATGGTTTCCAAATGCTGGCTGTGATGGCTAATCTTCATTGTCAACTTGACTGAAATTAGAAGCTCCTGTGAGACACACCTCTGGTCATTACTGTGAGGGCTTTTCCCTAGAGAGAATCAATTGAAGAGAGATGGACCTGTCCTGAAAGAGAGTGGTACTGTTCCAGGGGCTGGGATCCAGACTGAAGAGAAAGGAACAACGGAAGTTGTACGCTGGGTACCAGCACTCAACTCTCTGCTTCCCCATCCACCTCATTGTGAGGAAAAAATCATGCTATCACCACTGTAAGCTACTCCTGTGTCCTCTCCCTCCCCATGACTCCCCCTCCCTTCCTCCCTTCCCCTCCCTCCCTCCCTCCCCACCGTGTGTGTGTGTGTGTGTGTGTGTCCGTCCTCTCAACCCCAAGCCTCCCAAGTCTGCACCGTCATTCCTACTGTCCTGGGCTCTCAACCACAGTTTCCCACCAATGCCCTCCCTCCCAGTCTCTGCCCTCCTTTCATTCCTGCAGTAGGAATGACGTTAGTCCCATCTGTACTAATTTAGATTTTAGACTATTGTGGTGAGACACTGGGAGTTACATAGACTCCCTAGTGGGCAGGCAGATAGAGATGGAGGGCCACGGCTAGGTGATGATAGTGGCCAATCTCCAAGATGCCCAGCTTCTTCCTCAACCTACAGTTTCCGTCTCTCAGCAGGCCCCATTGCTGATGGACCCGCACAATGAAGTCAAGACTGGGTCAGGATGTGTCACACAACAGTTTGGGCCAACCAACCACCCTAGATTTCTTCAGATGACCCAATCCTAAATTAGGGGAGGGAGGCTCTTCAGAAGCGTAAAACAAACAAACAAACAAAACAAAACAGCCCCTGAGAAGAGACTTAAAAAAAAAAAAAGCTGTCTGAGTCCCTTTTTGCAGAGTCTTTTTCTGTGTGCCTGTTGCAGGAAACGCACACCTCACACCCACCTCCCTTCTACTCCTAATTCTTTCCACGATGCTTAAGGTTTCTCTTCTGCTATATGTTGGTCTTTGAATTTTCCTACCTTTTAACTCTTCGACTGGCAGAGACAACGAACCCGACTGAGACCCCCAGACTACCTCATTTCAAGACCCTTAGACGGTATTAATAGTTTCCAAAGTCAAAATAGATGATAATTCTCTAGTAGTTAACTCACATGGTTACACACAACCATAGCTGGTGTGTGTGCAAACATGGGGGTGACTTCAACCTCTTTTGGAGCAGACAGGTGCCTTGGATTTCGACTGATTGTGGTTTCTTCTGGGTCCTTCCACACGCCGCCAATGAGTCTCCTCTGAGAAAGCATCAAGAACTCATTTTGAGTTCTCACATTCATTCCTGGCACCTGTAAAAAGTTCCAATGCCTGATCAGACTTCTCCCTGTGCCCCATTAACACTGTCAAACACAAACCCAGGACGTTTCTTCCTCCAGACACACGAGGGCGCTGCGGAACTTGAGCTGCTCAGCAGGCGTGGAGGGCGACGCTCTTGCTAACGGGAGTCAGCGTGCTCAAGTCCGGGTCTGCAACGCGAGTGCAGCGGCGTGAGCTGCTGCCTTGGAAACGCGGGGCGCGCGCTTCCTGAGGCTGGCAGAGCCGGGGTCCTGAGGATGCTGCTGGCGGCCGGGACGCGGTATGCCCGCCGGCTGTGCGGCCGGGGAGCCGCAGCGGCTCTGCAGGGACGCCCAGGCCGGAGCTGTGCCCGGGGCGTCAGCACCAGCTGGTCCCCGGTGGGCGCCGCCTTCAATGTCAAGCCCCAGAGCCACCTATGGGACCTGGTGGGAGAGCGCCGGGTGAGCGTGCCGTGGGTCTGGGCAGCGCGGGTTCTGCGTCTTGCTGAAAGGGGACTGTGCCGGGATAAGCGCGCCCCGGGGATAAGCTTCCTACTCAGCCCTTTCCCTACTCAAGTTAGATTTTATTTTTCCTTTTGGCTTCAGAGTTCACATTTGCCCTTGGCTTTGTAAAGGTACTCTTCCGTTGAAAACTCCATCCCACCGTAATTGCTCTGAAACAACCTGTTAAACCAGGCATAGTGGCTCTTGCTTGTAAGACAATCTTGATGGTGGGGTAGAGGCAAGAGGGTACAAAGGACAGTCGTTTGGGCTCCAGACTGACTTTGAGACTAGCCTGAGTTGCATAAGAACCGGCATTAAAACAGAAAGCAACGACAGAACCATACTGAGAAAAATCAGATTTTCTGTGGTGCTTGAGTTGATTGCATAGCCTACGAAGTCACCAGACAGAATTGCTTGGCTATTTCTACTCTGCCTGTGGTGGTGTTGGACACGTGGTAATGAATGAGGAAAAGGCAGGGAAGACTGAGAAGGATGGATCTCTTTATTTGCATTTTCAGATTTTGTCCTAAAACAGTGGTTCTCAACCTTTCTAATGCTGTGACCCTTTAATACAGTTCCTCATGATGTGGTGACCCTTAACCATAAGGTTATTTCATTGCTATTTCATAATTAATTTTGCTACTGTTGTGAATCATAGTATAAATATCTGACATATGAACTCCCAATGGGTTGTGACCCACAGGTTGAGAACCACTGTTCTAAAGGTTAAGGGTTATTTTTACCTTTAGCTTTTCACTGTTGGGCAGCGTTCTAAAGAGGAGTCTGGGATATAGCTTCATTGTACCGAATAGTTTCAGTTGGTGTATCTCATGTTTAACTTTGTCTATTTGAAAATTCTTTCTATATAAAATTTCCTCCAAAACCCATGAGGGTGGATGATGCTGGTGTTAATGGAGTTGGTGTTGAAAGTGCCTATTAGTATTGAGCAGAAAGATAGTCTTGATTTTCGGTGGATGAAATAGAACTGATTTCAGCCGTATTTTAAACAATTGGGGTGTGTGTGTGTGTGCGCGCGCGCGTGTGTGTGCAAATGAGTGCAGGTCTGGTAGGTGCAGGCCAGAGGACAGCCTTTTGGGGCCTGTTGTTTTCTACCTTATGGAGGTGGGGTCTCTCTTGGTTTTCTATTGGACCGAATACTCAGGCTCTCTTTCTGCTCCTATTTGGTTCTTGAGCTTCTGAGCGATTTTCTTGTTTCTATCTTGGAGTGCTGGGATTACAGTTACATGCCACAAAAAATTTGGCTCTAAAGTCTTTTTATGTGTTTTCCCAAATGTATGTAAATTCACCACATGTATAGTATCCATGGAGGCAAAAAGAGGGTGTTGGATCCCCTGCAACTGAAGTTATAAACAGGTGGTAAACTGCCATGTAAGACACTGGGAATAGAACCCACGTCCTTTGCAAGAGCAGTAACCACTGAGCCATCTCTCCAGCCCTTCTTTCCAGATTGTTTAAAATTATGTTTTTGTTTGTTTGTGTATATAGGTGCCTGTATGTCCATATGCCTGGCTTTTAGCACTTGGAGTGCATAGACGGGAGGACCTGAAGTTCCAAGCTAAGTCACAGGAAACAAAAACTTTAAAGCATATTTCCATATCTGTAAAAGGAGAATGTACTCCCTGTTCTAGAACTGTGTGATTTAGCTGAGAGAATCTGTGTAAAGTACATGGCACACTTTGGCATATATTATATTAAACATCGGCTTTCTCAGAGTGCTAGGATTCACGCTTCAACTGCTTTTTAAAGACGGTCATACCCATTAGTGATTTTACTTTTCTTTATTAAAATACTGAAATGCCTTAGTTTCAGCCAGTGACTGGGTTTGGAACATTAAGTCTCCTTGTGAGTTGGCTTCCTCTGTTTTATAGTGGTGGACGGGTTGGTATGTGTGGAGACCTTGCTGTATAAGAGGTGTGGTCCTTGGCACTTTACACATGCTTTCTGCTTTAGTATGTTTCCACGCTGTCAGGTACTGCCAGCCTCAGTATACCTGCTGAGAAAACTGAAGCCCGGGGAGGAATGATCAGGTGACTGAGGTTGCGAACTAATGATGGTTACTGTTAACATCTGTTAAGTGCTGTCTGCGTGCCGGCGGGTACTGTTACACTTTTTTTTTTTTTTTTTTTCGACTAAATGGAGGTTTATTTCCAGAAGTTACAAAGCTCCATTCCCATACATATGTACAGACCTCAGCTTTGACCCACTCGGGGTGGTGGACACCCTTGGGAGGTGAACTGGTCACAACCAACAGAAGCTGAGACTCAGTGGGCTGGCTCAGTTCTCAAGACCCAGAAGTGCTGGCCAGCCTAACCCCATCCCTGTCTGAGACTATCTTCCCACAGGATGTGTGTGCTGAACAGAGAGGACACGGAAAACATCTCAGTCAGAGTCACAAGCCTCTTGTCTAATGGTGGCATCCACTGCAGAGGCCAGGCTGTCGTCCTGGCCTTTCAGCCGTTCACGGATCAGCTCTGCGATGGCTCTCTGGGTCCGCTTCTCCAGCTTCTCCAGCTTCTTGGCCACATCTCTCTTGAGATCCCAATCAGGTTTCCGAGGTGCTAGGTTGGCCAGGTCCACTTCCTCAATGACAGGCTCTGGCTTGGCAGCCTCCAGCTGCTCCTTCACCTTCTCCTCCACTGCAACTGGTTTGGCCTGAGGGACCCGCCTCCTTTTCAGGTCTTCATCCTCTGGGACATAGTTCCGAAGCCTGAGTTCCCTGTGCTTCCCAACTTCCTCTTCCTCTTCTCTGAGCTGCTTGGTCTGTGGCTCCCCATCTTCCCTGTCCTTGCGCCCACTTTTCTCCCGGAGGGCCTTCAGCCGTTCTTTCCGCCGCAGCGCCTCTTCTTCGAGGCGGCCCACACCAGCAGGAGCAGCCGCCATCTTTCCGGAGGCCCCCCTCCTTTTTCGCTCCTGCCTCCACTGTTACACATTTTGTTAAACCTTTGAATCTTCATTTAATCCCCTCAGCCATTTTCTCATGGAGCCACAGTGCTGACAACTGAACCCATACCATTTATTTATTTTTGAAAAGTAGGGAAGGATTGAAGAAGACATAAAATTTCAGAATGTTTTTAGATTGTTTTGTGTAGCGTGACAGAAAAACAGTAACCCATGAGCATAGACGTGGGCTGTCGCTAGACCAAGCAAAATCAGGGCTTTGCACAAAAGTAGTTCTAGGGAGTAAAACAGACAGACGAAACTGTGCTTCAGGCTGTAGGTTAGAAATGCTGTTTTGTACTTTCAGGGTCTTTTTGGAGTTCCTGAGCTCAGCACCCCTGAAGGATTCCAAGTTGCCCAGGAGGAAGCCTTGAGGAGGACGGAGTGCCTGGTAGAGCGAGCGTGTTCCACACCCCCAGGGCCACAGACAGTCCTCATTTTTGACGAGCTCTCGGATTGCCTGTGCAGAGTGGCCGACTTGGTGAGACTTAGACTGGAGAACAAGGGTGTGTGTGAGGGTGCAGGAGCATGCATGCTTTGTGTGTGTGTGTGTGTGTGTGTGTGTGTGTGTGTAGGAGCATGCATGCCTTGTGTGTGTGTGTATGTAGGAGCATGCATGCCTTGTGTGTGTGTGTGCAGGTACATACATGCCATGGATGTGTGTGTGTGTGTGCAGGAGCATGCATGCCATGGGTGTGTGTGTATGTGAGTGCAGGCATGGGGTCATGGGAGAACTCTCAGGAGCCTCTCCTTATAGGATCCATGGGTGAAATTTAGGTCACCAGGCCTGCAAACCAGTCTTCCTACCTGCTGAGCCATCTTGCCAGAAACTGGCCCAAATTTGATTGCTTGTATCAATAAAGGTGATTAATGGCACATAGAATCCAAAGTAGCGATTGGTCTTAGAATCCATCGTTCCATCCAAGTCCTTTGGCTTTTGTCTTTCCCCTTTACTAGGCGGACTTTGTTAAAATCGGACACCCAGAGCCTGCATTCAGAGAGGCTGCGCAAGAGGCCTGCAGAAGTATCGGCACCATGGTGGAAAAGTATGTCCTCTCCATTCCAGGTGGATTTGTCACGTCCATGGTGGGTGGGAGGAGGTGCTGTGATCTAGCAGCCCAGGGCGGTGGTGGGAGCGCTGGGGCAAGTCATGGCAGCTGGAGCTGTTCTCTTGGCTTCTCAGGAAAGTCATGGCAGCTGGAGCTGTTCTCCTGGCTTCTCGGGAAAGTCATGGCAGCTGGAGCTGTTCTCCTGGCTTCTCAGTAAAGTCATGGCAGCTGGACCTGTTCTCCTGGCTTCTCAGTAAAGTCATGGCAGCTGGAGCTGTTCTCCTGGCTTCTCGGGAAAGTCATGGCAGCTGGAGCTGTTCTCCTGGCTTCTCAGGAAAGTCATGGCAGCTGGAGCTGTTCTCCTGGCTTCCCTTTTCCTTTATAATTGGATAATGGAGTTGACTTTCCAGGTTGCTCTAGTGTAAAAATGAAACAAGGCAAACATGAGATGCTTAGAAGGCCTTGGACACACGGGGACGTACAGTAGTATTTGTCCTCAGTACTATTGACAGTCAATGTGTGGCTGTTTTTTGTAGGGAACCTCAACTGAGAAGTGGCCTCTATCAGTTGGCCTATAAACATGTCTGTGAGGCATTTTCTTGATTAATGATGGGTATTAGAGGGCCCAGCTCACTGTGAGCAGTGCCAACCCTAGGCAGGTGGTCCTAGGGTATAGAAGAGGACAGTCTGTGTTAATCATGGAGTGTCAGCCCTCCTCCTCGGCTTCTGCCTTTCAGTCTCTGCCTTGCCATTCCCTCAGTAGCTTATGACATGGGACGTGTAAACCAAACAATCCCATGCCTCCCCCAAGTTGCTCTTGGTTATGGTCTTTTCACAGCAATGGAAAGCAAAGTAGGGCCGTGAGGAAAGTCTTTTGTGTATTTTTGTGGATATTTGGAGTTCCTAGATTTTGGCATGAGTCAGTTGCATACGTAGCTGTGGACCATAGGATAGGAGCCCCAAATATGTATTTATACGAAGTCCCCTTTTAGACTTTGTTGAGTTGTGATGAGGAGTATCTTAGTGCTCTCCAAGAAAGCCAAGGACGGCTGTAGGTGAAGGCTATGAGGAAACATATTTTCTTAAAGTGGCTCAGGAGTGATCTGAAGTGGTTTAAAGCCATTTATGAATGTTCCAAAGAGATAGTTGAAGTCACTGTGGGCAGCACTAGGTATGAAGCACAGGGATGTGACACCAAGCCAGATAATGTTTGAGACTGAGGAGAGTGTCAGGGTGCGGCTAGCCTGGGCTTATGAGAGGAAAACAGAAGCCGGGCAACACCATGAGACTTTCAGAAACCAGAACTTAGAGAGGGCGTGGCTTCACTAGTTGGACAGACTTCATATCTTAGGAGTGTGGCTGTCCCTTCTCTCACATTGAGCGACATTGTCCCACTCAGGGACAGTAAATGTGACTTTTATCTTCTTTAATGTGTACTACATAGATAAAGCCAGTCCCTGCCACATTTGGACCCTTGGCCCTGTGCTGCACCAAGGACGGCACCAAGGAATTCCATGGGATAACCAGCACTTTCCATCAGGAGTAGCCCAGGAAAGGAGTCAGCGTGGCCAGGCCACCTGTCTGGGCTGCTATGAAGGTTGTGTCCTGCTGATTTTAGGGACAGCCTGTCCTAAGCCCAAGCACTCTTAGTTTTGTGGGAGAGCAGTCGAGACCTGTGATTGGTGGTGAAGTGGTATAGTGCTTGACTGAAATCTTCACCTCTCCATGAAGAGTGCATCAGTCTGCTGAAAGTCACTCACAATGAGCTGGGCCCTCTGACATCAGTCATTAATAGAGAAAATGGAAACCTTGAAGGATTCCTTAAGACTTAGAACTCAAGCTAGCTGTGCTTGTGTGAGAGCAAAGAGTCATGACCCAGGCACCAATATCAGCCCGACCTGCAGCATCACTGTCCTCACTCTAGGTCCCAAGGCCCTGGATGGCATCCTTAGGGCATGGTTTGGGACCAGTCCTAGACTAGAAGCCACTGCCACCTAGTGGATTCTGATGGAAGGACAGTATCTTTCACATCACCCCAGTCTACTATCCTTACCCAGGGACTTGAGGATGGGCTAGTTCCCCAGGCCATTTGCAATTAAAGATCTTAAGTGGCTGGTGGAGGGCTTCTTTTGCCACCACTCTCATGGGTCCTCCCAAATGTTAAGGGGACCAAGGCAGTTACCGTCAATCAAAAGATACTCAGCAGGAACACTCCACATCACCTACTCCCTGATACAGCTCCTGAGTGTCACAGAGAAAGCTGCCACCTATGTCCTGCTGGCCTCTGGCCATGTGAAGGACAGCAGTTCAGAGACATCCGCACCATGGTCCTTGCTGAAGTGAATGCACATCTCTTACAGTTTAATGCTGGAAGACCCTGTCTGAACAGTTTGCAAGTATGACTATTATAGATGACTCAAAAGAATATACTGAAAACTGCTTCCCAGTTTTGGGCTCTGGTATTTATATGCAACCATCTAATTCCATTCTCTTGATGTAGAGTAAAAATTTAAAAATGGATTTGAAAAGAACATTTCCATTCATGGTCTTTCTAGGTTGAATACGAATGTGGAGTTGTACCAGAGTCTGCAAAAGTTACTGGATGATAAGAAGCTTATGGATTCCCTTGATGCAGAAACCAGGTACTCATCCATTCATTCCTGATCCTGGCTTTAGTTACTGGGGTTTGGATGCAGTTGAAATAAGTAGATGTTAGGTTCCCAGCTTAACTAGGTTTAAATGCTGACATCACAGGCCAGTGGGACTCTCAGTCAGCTGGGCGCTGTACCCGTTTCTGAGATACTAAACTTCTTGTTTCAGACAAAGAAGTTGTGGCCATGTTGAAGTAGTTCTCTTTAATAGGAAGTTTCAGAAATCCTGATTTGAACATAAAGACGGATTTTCTATTGTAATTTTAATGAACTCTTATAACTTATGCTCACTTTATTTTAGGCGAGTAGCTGAACTATTTATGTTTGATTTTGAAATCAGTGGAATCCATCTAGATGAAGAAAAGGTAAATTTTTTTTTCCTTTTTAAACTATGCTCTTAAATTTATTTCTCTTATGTATGAGTTGGCCTGAATGTATGTATGTGTACCTCATCATGGCCTTGGAGGTGAGAGGGTAAGAGCCCTGGGTGCACAGTTACAGATGGTTTTGAACCACCATGTGGGTGCTGGGAACCAATTCCTACTCTTCTGCCATCTCTACCTTTTAACCACCCCTCCACCCAAATCTTTCCGTTCTTCAGATAGGGTCTGTATATTCCCAGCCGGCCTGGAACTTGCTATGTAGTCTATGCTGGCCTCAAACTCACACTGCTTCCTGAGTACTGAGGTTAAAGGTGTGTGACAGCACATGGGGGAACATTTATTTATCTGTCTGTCTGTCTGTCTACTTATATATCTACCTATGTATTTAGAGAGAGGGTCTTCTATAGTTCAGTTAGCTTTGATCTTGCTATGTGGTTGAGGATGAACTTGCCTTTCTGATCTTTGACTAGGCTCAGTGCTGGAGACTAAGCCCAGGGCACTGAACACTCCAGGGCAAGCATTCCACCAGCTAAGCTCCATCCTCAGCTGTTTTTATTTTTTTGAAGACAAGGTTATGGGTTAACCAAATTGGCTTTGAACTTGCTATGTAGCAGAGGCTGGCCTTGAACTCCTGACCTTGCCTTTACCTCTTACTAGTATTACAGGCATGTGCCACCTAGAGCCCTTGTGTATCACTTGATGGGGTATTAATAAACTCTTAGGACTTTTTTCGCTTGTCATAAAATTCTTCTGTAGGTGGTGTCTAAGTATAGTGCTCTCTGGAAGCTGAGCCATCACTCCTGATAATCCAAAATGAAGTGACAACTCAGCTGGAGTGTTGGAGGTGTCATGGAATGAGGCTGAGATGGAGAATAGGTGGACTCTTGACAC